TCTGGTTTAAATAAATGTTCATTGTAGACTGAACAACAAAAGGACCTAAAACATATACAGTATATAGAGAGAGAAAGATCCAAACAGCCCAGACAACAAAGTAAAAACACAAATAAGCAACAGTAAATCATATTTTTTTCATAATATTTTCCCAGACTTCTAAAAAAGGGCATTTTGTAATAAATTAAATATGAAGTAAAAATTCTTATTTGAACATATAAAATGTTAAAGAGTTATTTGATAAATTATTTGATTTATATATTTAACATAATTTATGTAATTTATATAATTGCTTATTAATCACTTTGGGGCTGCATAGTGTCAGGGGTTCTTAAAATAATGCAAAAATGAATGCCATTTAATTATAATTATGCATTTATTTGCATCATTTTTTAATCAAATGTCTATTTCTGTGTTTAATAAAATGTGTTAATTTTAATTAATCATCTAACCTACTGAATCACATTTAATTCCACTTACATGTATCTAAGACTTAAGGTAGTTTGATTGTACTGTGTTTACAAGGTAAATTATAAAAATCTGAATATTTAGCCACAAAAAAAAGGTCTTTCCTTTTGCTGATTTTAAATTGTCTTCAATTGTCAAATTTAGTTTGCCCTGCAGAGCTTCTTTTACAATACGTGTTAGATGTAGTTTACGGATCAATTGAACAGAAAAGGTACTTCATGTTAAGTATTATATTTTCTTTAATACTTTTGACAAAAAAAGATTATTCATTTATATATCATATTTCATACAAAAAGATTCAAGACAATGTTCTTCAAAAGTGGTGACAACCAAGCAAAAAGAGATTAAAGATATTTATAAATAAAATGAATATTAAATAAATGATAATTAATACTGTAGCTAATTTTAACAATAGCAAAACTGAGATGAGGTTCCCTCTTCTGGCTTGTTCTTGATCCCAAAAATCTCAGTTTGAGATTTAGAGTTGTGTGTCATCGGCGTAGTGATGGATAAAAGACATGTTTGCTGATAAAAGAACAGGAAATATTGTACATTAATGCTAAGCTAGGCTAACCACATTCTAAACACAGACACAAGAGTGGTATCCATCTGAACATCACACTCTCAGAGAGAAAGATAAGAGGATTTTACAACATTTTAAATGTTTTTTATTGATAAAAGTGAGATTCTTCCGTCTGTAACATTCAGTCTGATTTTTTTAGCAATTTTCGTCCCGATAGCTCTCCGCCACACAGTTGACAGGTGTGTTGGTGTGTTTGCAGGTGTGGGAGGGTCAGAGCATTGTGAAGCTGGCCAGGATGATGCTGGGTGAGACCAACCCTGCTGACTCCAAACCTGGCAGCATCCGCGGAGACCTGTGCATCAACATCGGCAGGTGAGTAAAAGCACGAAGCATCAATATAATATGACTTTTTATGACCATTTACGACATTATACTTTTTCTTTTTCAGGACATTTTGTGACATACCATACTATAAAGTTTTATAAAAAACTGTGATGCTATTTTATGACATTTTTCGACAGTATACTCAACATAATATACTATGACATTTTTTGACATACTATACTATGAAACCAAGAGCTTTCTACAATTTGTCATTCTTACCTGTCAGGAGTGTCCTATGCTGTTAGGCAAGAGCAGTTTGAAACAGTAGCTGAGTAGTGTGTTTAATGTAAGCTTTAGAAATGTAAAGACGTAGAATGGACATTTCACGTTCAGGGGTTGCACAAAATCATCACTAACTGCATCCCGCTGACCTGCCTCCTCTGTTTCCTCAGGAACATCATCCACGGCAGCGACACCCTGGAGAACGCCAAGCGTGAGATCGGCCTGTGGTTCAAGGCCGAGGAGTTCGTCACCTACACACCCTGCACCCAGACTTTCCTGTATGAGTAAACTGGCCAATCAACAGTCAGTAAACCACACTCAACTGGACCCCCAACCCACTGACCCCGTCCGTCCGTCCTGCCTGCAGTTGATCCCGACTTGACCTTCATGAATCAATTCAGAACATGTAGCACTTATCAATAAAGTCTCATGTCAACAACGCCTGTCACTGTTTGTGTCTATTCAAAGCTAAAACACCAGAACTAAAGGTCTACAGGCAGGCTCTGTGAGACTCCATGAAGAAAAGCCTTTACTATGTCAAAAAAACAGAATGTGATGATATTCACTGTATATTGTGTCATAAAAAAATCATAGTATACTATGTCGTCAAAAGTTGTGGTATAGTATGTCAAAAAATCATAGGCAAGGCGAGCTTATTTGTATCGCACATTTCAACAACAAGGTAATTCAAAGTGTTTCAATAAAACCATTAAAAACATCAAAACAAGGCAAAAGAAAAGGAGATTTAAAAACAATTAAAACAGTCATTAAAACATTAAAAAGCTAAAAATAGAATAAAAGTTGCAGTGCAGTTTAAGAAATAGACTACAGTAGTAAAATGCAGAAATTGATTAATATCCTTGAATGTGGTTCAATTAAAGGCAGCAAACAGAAAAGTCTTCAATCTGGATTTAAAGGAGCTGAGGGTCTCAGCAGACCTGCAGCTTTCTGGGAGGTAGGTGGTGGTGAGGGAGGTAAAGACTCCTCCTCTCGGAGGTGGGGAGAAAGTGGGAGATCAGAGGCGGTCCCTGATGATGAGGTTGGAGACTCCTCCTCTTGGCTCTCCTGAGGCGGGGCATCCTTCCCGTAAGGTCTCTACAGCGATGCTGTGTGGTTACCTCTTGTTGAGACTCCTCTCGTCTCTTGTCCTTGGCAGTAGGAACAGACGGATGACGCAGGGAGAGAAATAAGTTGGAGGTAAACAGGTAAACTGACTTGTTCAGGCAAACTCCATGTGCCTTAAAAAGATGTCTGCGCTCCCAGAAAAGGTAGAAATTGTTGATAAAATGTACTGAATGGTCAGTACATGCAGTTGACAGACATTGTTCAGTGCAAACAGCCTGCTGAATCCTTCATCGCCTCCTCTGACTGGTGGAAGAGGGCCACTGATAAACACCTCAGCGTCTTTGCTTCTGTACTGTGATGTCATTCACAGAGTTTTCCTTCCATCTGATTGGACCGCTGAAGTTTGTTCCAAAAAACGAGGAAATCCCGACACACCCCCATGTTAAAAGATTATCGGATATTCACATTAAACAGGTAAAAGATATGACTGGATATGTGGTCTGAAAGGGTTAAATAGACATTTCTTTTTCCATCTTGATTGTAAAACTAACTAGAAAATTCCTAAAGAAATTTTGACAGTGTGGCTTCTACTGCCCGAAGAAGTCGCAATATATACACACGCCGATGTTACCGGTAGTGTCATTCAGGTTCAATTGAGATAGCGCTGACGCTCCCGTCATTTCTGTACAAACCTCATTCTGAGCTTCATGTTAAGATAGTTACTCTATGGGGCTTTTATTTTGAAAGGGTAGGACTGGGTAGGGGAGAGAAGGGGAGAGGAGACATATTCATAATGTTTGACACACAAACACAGAGGTTATTAAATGACAGATTTCATCACAAGCATTCCAGTTAGAATTTACTCTCTGGAGCTTTTATTTTGAAATGGGAGGGGGGGGGGGGGGCTCTGAAGATATCTAAGACCTGAATGACTGTATGATAGAGAGAGAGAGAGAGAGAGGAGAGCGCGAGAGAGAGAGGAGAGCGAGAGAGACTGAGTGAGACGGACAGGAGGTCCATGCTTCCAAGTCATGTGTGTGTGTGTGTGTGTGTGTATATATATATATATATATAAATATATAGACAGATATAGATAGATAGATAGAGAGAGCGTGCAGTAACTGGTTGCCATGGTGAGGACGCACCTGGTGTTAGAGGCAGACTGATTAAGAAACGTTGCAGTAATCAGTGATTTTGAACAAAACCCCTGCCTCTTTTTAACAAATTAGCAGAAGTCTGAGTGCCAAAATATGGATACCGTGAGAAAGATAATAATAATAATAATAATAATACATTTTATTTATATAGCGCTTTTCATAAAACTCAAAAGACACTTTACATTAAAATCATCATATATAAAAGCAATACACTAAAAACATAAAATACACAATAGTGGTCACACATTAAAAGCAGTTTTGAACAGGTGGGTTTTGATCTGTGATTTGAATATGGAAAGGTCAGTGCAGTCTCGGATGTGTTTGGGGAGAGAGTTCCAGAGGGAGGGGGCAGATATGGAGAAGGCTCTGTCACCCCATGTCTGGTGCTTGGTCCTGAGTGGAAGGGACAGGAGGCATCAGAGGAGCGGAGCTGAAGGGATGGAGTGTGGTGGTGAAGCAGGTCGGTG